ATATATATATGAACGGATCAAATTTTTTTAAGAGTAATTTTTAGTAAAGTTATTTCGCTCAATAATTCATAATATATATCAATGATTCAATTATTCAATTAAAAGTTCTTAATGCACGGATCAAGTTTACAATTCTTTTTAAAATATGAAAATTATATAATACTTGGTTATATAATTCAAATCAACATTAATATATTTTTATGATTATCTATCAACTTGAATTAATGAAATAAAGTATCAAATATTTTTCACAATTTTTAAAAATTTGTAAACTTGATCTATATATTAAAATTTTTTAATTTAACGGTTAAGTCATTGAAATTTAACATACATCATAAGTTATTGAGTGGAATAATCTTACTAAGAGTTACTCTTGAAATAATTTGGTGTCTCACATATATACATACATACATATTTCTTTAATATTTTATACAAAATGAAAGAGAAGTGATAATAAATGTCATATGAAGGAGTTAAATGTATCTAATCTAGAAATCCAATATATTTACCTATATGCCGAACTAATTTTTGCTAATTCTTTTCTCTCATTTTGTGAACGATATGTCTTTGACTATTTATCATCATTGATGAAGACAGAATTTTTTTGTGCTAAGAAATAAGTCTTCTCATATCAAGACATGGATTGATGATCTATATTGTTATGCCAATATTTTTTTATATATAATTTTCACTACCTCACATAATTCATTTGCTCGTATATTATTATCTATACCATCTGCATGCGCATGTAATTGTATAAGTTTTTGGTAAAGATTTGTACAATATTTATATTTATAAAAATTGTGACTAACTTTTATTTTTAATAAAAAATTAAATAGGTATTCCTAACAAAAATTTTATAAGCATTTACTAAAAATGTTATAGATATAATCACATAATTGGATCATGTAAATATAACATTAGGAGATTTCCCCCCTTTTTTTTACATTATACATTACCTAGATTATATCATTTTATTTTAGATTTTTTCATGACATTCATACACAAATTGTGCTAATTTTTTTTATGAAATAGGCGAAGTCATGTCAATATTTGTGAAAAGTTACCAAGAAAATAATTATATACAAAATTTTGACAATAAAATTATAGAAAATTCATCCCATAAATTACTACTTATTTTATTTTATTTTTCGTTGTAGGATTAATATTAACCAATAAAAAGACAATTCGACTATCACCAAATATGTCAGAGATGGACATAGGAACCTTTTTCTGGTTGCATTTGGGTGACCCATTGAATACTAAGGGGGTATTTGTTTTTTTGGGACACTGTTTACGAACATTAAATTTGGCAGAATGGTGGCTCTGTAACACCATATCTGAACTTGAACCTGGGGTATTAAACATTGTTCCGAAGCTCCTCCCAATTGGTCCATTACTAAGAAGTAATGACAATACAAATGCAACTACAAGATCAATGGGACAGTTTTGGGAAGAAGATCTCTCTTGCATGAATTGGCTTGATCAACAACCTCATGGTTCGGTCACGTATGTTGCCTTTGGTAGTATTACTCTTTTTAACCAAAACCAATTCGATGAACTAGCTCTTGGACTAGACCTCACCAATAGACCTTTTCTTTGGATTGTGCGTCATGACAATAAGTTGACATACCCTTCTGAATTCCAAGGGCATGAAGGTAAGTTAGCTGAATGGGCCCCTCAACAAAAGGTGTTAAACCACCCTGCTATTGCTTGCTTTGTTACCCATTGTGGTTGGAATTCGACCATGGAAGGTTTGTCCAATGGGGTGCCCTTATTGTGTTGGCCATATATTGCGGACCAAATTTACAACAAAATACACATTTGTGATGAATTGAAACTTGGAGTGGGATTGAACTCAGATGAAAATGGACTTGTGTCACGATGGGAAATTAAGAAGAAATTGGACCAACTACTTAGTGATGAGAACATGAGAGCAAGGTCTATAAAGTTGAAGGAGAAGCTAATGGACAACCAAATAGATAGTGGTCAATCTCTAAAGAACCTCAATAAGTTGGTCAAGTGGTTGAAAGAATAACGATTTTCCTTTGAGCATATATTTTAGGTAATTTTCTTAGAATGTGGATGCAATTGGAAATGATAATGTTGGCTTTACAACTTCTTAGATGTGGAATTTGTCAATTTGGTGGAGATTTGTTGTTTTTATTAGTAATTGTATGTTGATTAAGGCGGGTGAGTTATAAGTACATCAATGTGAATGTTGCTATATATTATTTTAGGTGAAAGCTTAAGTTTCTAGTTGATCATGAGATTATTTGTAATTATAATGTTATTCAAGTTGTTGGTTTGAATTTTGGCTTAGTTTATATGTTCTTAAACAATACTTATAGTCTTGGGTGCATCGTTCACTCAAGGGTTAAAATTATGTTTGTTAAAAATAAAATTTAAGACCAAGAGAATCTAGGATTGTTTTTTAACCTAACATTCTTTCCCTTTTTTATAATGACAAATATTCATTTTTGAAATAAAGTTTTGATAGAAAAGCTTGAGAGACTAAACATTTTCTTTCTTAAAACAATAGAAAGGTGTTGACAATAAGACGAAGTGATTTGTTTTTACTAAGATCTTAACTTTTATAAGTGAAAAAATCCTTTATTGTAGATGTTTTGAAACAATACCACATGAAATCAAAAATAATTTTCATAGAAAAATAGTTTGTTTATAAAGATTTTTATCAAAGCCTTTTGTGTAAAAATAAACGTGAGAAGCATATCAGACATGAACATCTAAGATTTTAAAATCAGATCAAGTCATGCTTAAAGAAAATGTGCAATGCAACATATATTAAAGCAAATCATAGAGTATGTATAGAAGCAAATATAGATCTGTATTAAAGCTATATATCAGCACATAACATACAAAGCACTTATATGTATTAAAGCATTCATGATATTAGATCATTCATGATTATCAGAGCAAGAAATATAACTATCAAAGCTAAATGAAAGATTTTAGTAAAAATAACTCCCCTTGAGAATATGCATAATGAATGTTAATATGTTCAAAACATAAAAGTATGAATTATGCATAATGATTACTACCAATCAGACCAATAATTGTTCAAAAATCTTTAAAACAAGAATTTCAAAAACATAAGAACTACTCCCCTTTTTGGCACCAACCAAAGCTAGTCCAAAATTAGTCTTCCTCATATGAACTAAGCTCAATGTTGAGGCATGTAAGTAGCTTTTGAAGCTTTTACTCATAACATGCTTGACTTCTATATGCAGTGAAAAGAGAGCTCAAGTTAGGAAACCAACAATGAGAGGCAAGGTATGCTTGTGGTCATCCTGTGAAGCTTCTTAAGGTGATTCACGAGCAAGAGTTGGTTCAGGAGTAGCAAGATCATGGGATCCTTCAGGAAAATCATAAAAGAAAAATATATTTACAGGTAAGCGAATGCCAAATTGAATATTAAGAGGAGTGAGATAATGAAATGTGTGATGTGGTTGATAAAGAGCGTTGTTGTCAAATGATAAAGTGGTCGGAGGAGGTGGAGTTTGTTGAAGAAAGCTTTCTATGACATATAAGGAATAAAATTTACCAGTATTAGAGACCCTAGATTAATGATGATGAGCAAACCACATGTGCTTCACATCCTCAAAGTGTTTGTGTTTCTTTTCTTTACCTCTACAGATAGAGTGTAAAGAAACTTTTGGACGAATATTGGCAATGAAGAATTGAGTCTATGGCTAAATCTGGCATGACCTATGTAGTCCACCAATCATTTGTGGTAGCTTATGAGGGGTTCCCTCATAGCTTAATTTTAGATCAACCTTTAAATGGAAAATGTGTTCAATTTCATGGGTTGTTGCTGGTTGATCAATCTGAGTGTTTGAGCATCTAAACATGGTGGTACGTTCAAATCAAAAGGCCAGAGCTCTATGTGTAAGATGGTTTAAGGATGGATAACAATGGGTTGTTCATCCCTATAGCACATTAGAAGGTACTCATTCATCTTGTAGTATGGGGATTGCCTTAAGAAGTCATACACCAAGGGCTCCAAAGTCTCGTCATTAGTTGTGGCCTTCTTTGCTAGAAAATGATGCTCAGCTTCTTCCTTAGAGTTAATGCTAATAACATCAACTTCTTCACTTAGGGACACAATAGATACAAAATCCTTTGGTGCTTTCAGATTAGGCTGAATCAGGGAAGTATATACACTTAATAGGATAGTCTCAATTATAGCTTCCAAATTTACCACTGCTATAATGTCATTGGCTTGAACAGAAGTCCCTGCATCAGTCATGAGAAATGCAAACATAAGCATAACAAAAAATGAGAAGTCAAAAGCTTATGTGGAATAGATCATGTGCAAAATTGTAAAAGAAGTTGCAAATGATGTTGATCATGAGTGCAAAACATAGCTATTGTATTGTGCACATATCTTGAGATGTACATGTGATATTGAGATAAATTTTGTAGCTATAGAAAGCTAGAATAACTATCTATAAGCTATATGAAGAATTTTCTTCATGCACAAGAAAAACTTATATCATGGAAAAACATCAAAATCAAAATGAAAATGTCATTTTAAGCTACAACAATAACACAATGCAGTATTTTGAGCATATTTGGATATGTGGACATGATTTTGAGCCAAACTTGGTGGCTACGACAAGATATAAAAATTGTTTACAAATTTGTTGAAGAAGTTATGGGCACTAAGAAGGTCTTTATCATGGAAAAATTATGTATGCAATATGAAAACTTTGATTTATCCAAAATAACATGATGTTGTTACATTATTTTGGGAATATCTTATGCTACATAGATCCAAATAACATGAAACTAATTCCTAATGATTAAAGGTAGATTTATCTACAAGTTTTATGAAGAGATCCTTTAGACAATCTAAAAGACAATTTAGTATATGTCAAGGATTGTTGTTTAGCACATATGACAATATTTATCCCAAGTAAATGAGTATTTCAAGTTGTTGATCAAAAAGCTTCAAGTAAAATACTTCTTCTTAGGTGACTTGTCTTGAAGACTTGGTTCAAAAGACTACAATTTCAAGCAACTAGTCAAAAACATTTAATTGAAATAATATTTTTTAGAAGACTTGTATTGAAGATCTGGTTCAGAAAGCTTGAAGTGAAGACTTACTCAGAAGACAACTCTTCTATAGTCTGATAGAAACAAAAATAAAAAGTACAATGATGTCAACAAAAAAAAAAGAACAAGCAAGCTTCAACAAATCTATTTGTTGAATGCCTATAAAGGAAAAATAATGGTGTCATTTTAAAGCAACCAAGAACAAAGAAAAAGATAGATTATCCAAGCTTGATAACCTAAATCATTTGTTGCTTCATCCTCTAATTTTTCAAAGACTTCCACTTCATGTTTGTAACTCTAATCTATAATAGGAAAGAAGTGTGAATTTCTTAGTGGAAGCTCCATTGATGGAGAGTTACCTATGCTTTTTGCAATCTAAAAGAACTTATTATTGTAAACACAATCCCTACCCAAAACTAAGAGCGTAGAGGTGTATCAAGTAAAGGAAATCACAATAGGTTTTGTGTAGTTTCACCGCAAGAGGTTGTGAGGTTATTTTCTCAACAGATGGTTGAGTGAAGAATCTCAGCAGGTGATTGAGTGATAGTTACTAACAATAGGTGGTTGGGTAGTATTTTTTTGTTGTATCAATAAGTGACTACGTTTGAACAACATTTGGATGTGTTTTCTAGTGGAAAATCCCACGCGATGTGTGGGAATCAGATGTAGCTAGTTGAGGTAAACCAATATAAATCATATGCTCATTCTCTCTTTCCTTATCTTTTTTACTTATTTATTGAACTAACTAAATTCACTATTATGTTGCTACATAATCTAAATCATAAATAAGTAAACTTAGAAACTATTCAAAAAAATACACTTAGTACCAACACTCGGAAGACTAATTGTCTTTTGAATAATATATTTTAAAATGAAATAATTCAACCCCTTTTGTATTCTAACATTCACTTTAGATTAATGAGAGAGAAAAATAAATTTCAATTGTATAAATTCTTTTCATTTATGAATGTAGTTTTACTACAACTTATATATATATATATATATATATATATATATATATATATATGAAGAGGAATTTGTTTACTTCAGGAGTAAGTCTACCTAGACTTACTCTGTTCAATAACTCATATTTTACATCAAATTTTAACGATCCAACCGTTGAATTTAAAGTTCTTAATACATAGATCAAATATGTAATTTTTAAAAAAATTTAAAAATCATTCGATATTTCATTGCATAAATTCAAATCAATTATTGAAATACATAATTGTTTTTAAATTGTAACTTTTAAAATTTAATTCCTAAAATCTATTATTGTTTCACTAAGTTATGAAATTTATTGATGAATTATGAAACTTTTATAATTAATATGAAGTGGAAAAATGAAAAGATATTAATATAAATTCTTTCAATGTATAGATTATTTTTAAAAAAAATATTAGATTTATAATTTTGTAAAATTTACGTAGATTTTTTTTATACTCGAATAAATGTAAAATATTTTATCTAATTTTAATAATATATATATATATATTGATATTATATTATTTTTTATTTTAATTCCTGAAATCAGTTATTTTTTATATTATAGTTAATTGTAGAATATATGATTATTGTTAAATCAAAAATCTTGTATTAAGACAAAAGATAATTCTTTAAGTTTTAATGGTGACAAACAAAAGATTTTCTTTAAAAAAGTCAATATTCTTCAAAGATATATCATATCAGAAGAAATGTGAAAAATATATATATCATCTATAAGATGAAAGAAATCAGACGAAGCATACAATCTATTTGATGACATTAAATGAATACTTTTGTGTAAGACTAACATTAAATTTCATTTAATGTGGTATTCCTTAATAGATTGGACAAGAAAAAAGCTTCAAAACTCTTGAAGTTTATTTAAGAGGATAAAGACAAAATATTTGTAAGAAGCGAAAAGCATAATCCTAGATATCACGGAAAAGGTGATGCAAAAAGACTGCTCTATGCCAACTTTAATTGCTCTACATTGACATTATTTCTACCATGCTCTTTTTAGAAGGAAATAATGACAATTGTTGCGGGTTGCATCAATTGTCCCGTGGCGGAGGCTAGGTGGGCCAAGTCACTGGCGAATCATAGCGCTTGGCCTGCTATGCTCTTAAGTAGAAACAGTTGCGCCCTGACTATCAGCTATAGCTTTTGGCCTAGTGGTAAGCGCTCGATCCAACAATAAGGAATCTACAATATCAGATAAAAGATACACTCCTTATTGATAGGCATTTAGTGCTTG